AAGTCTAGCACCTATTCTGATGAAACACACAAATAGAAGCAAAAAGAAATGAGGGCGTCCTGCAAACTTAAAAGTGCAATTCTAACCTTTGGAGCCATGAATCAACACTTGTTTTCAACGAACTCGATGTTGCAAAATAGTTGGTCCAACAACCATGATAAAAACCAAATTAAATTGGTACTGAAAGCTACTCATGATAAACGAAAATTTCAGTAAATTTAGACTACAAAAGCTACCAACATCAAATTAGGCTTATCATCTACCATTACACAAAAGAAGGGTTTTTACAGCCCAATCATGCTCATTGCCTGAAGGACCAAAGCAAATAAAAAAAAATAGAAGAGAAAACCAGGGGACTTAAAGCCTGAAAAGGCATTTATAAAAAAAGGGTGCTTTGCCACTTGCTTTTATTAAACAATGTGAAAGCAAAGACTTGATGTGCTACTGTGTTGCCCAGTTAGTGTTAGGCATGAAGACAAAATGAAATGGGTTTCAAGACAAAGTAAATGAAGGAAAATAAAAGAAAGAAATGTTGCTCATCACGTGGGAGTATAGGTCTCACCCTAAATCCACTAGGCTTTGAAAAGACATAGGTCATTCTTGTTAAAACCCATCAATTCATTTTTGCCAGTCATTATCTTGTGGGCACCTTGCTTTTGCCAAAGTCTTAAGCCAAGTCTCCGAAACCCCAAATCGATGACAACAACAGTGCTCTCATCTCTTTTGCAGACTCATTGCCGCATCAAATCGAAGATAACTTCGAACCACTTCAAAATCCATAAATGTGAACCACCTCAAAACACCAAGCTCGATGAATTTACTCTACATCAAATTTAATTTCAAATTTCTGAAGTGGTTAAATGGTACGAGGCCATAACAAGCTTCAAATGACATGAAATCACATCAAATACTAAATGGCACGAAGTCGTATTAAATTTCGATGGCACAAAGCCGTATCAAGTATCCCAATGGCACGAAGCCGTATTAAGTATCAAAGAGCATGAAGCTACGTATTGCTCCAATGGCTCAAATTCCTCACCCGCACTTCACAAGGCATCAAACTCCAACAAATACATAAGGAACTACGAGTGACTTAATCCCTCAACGAGGGTACGTAGGCAATCTAGGGCTCTACCTAGATGCAGTCAAATCTCCAAGTTACAATTTATTCATATTAGAATCAAAGGGTATTCCTTTCCCAAAAGAAGGGTTGTAATTAATAGGCGCGTAGCCTAGAATAGGTCGAACTCAAATTAGTAAAACCCTCTTCAAAAAAAATGAACGAGGGTGAAATTGTGTCGAGTGAATTATTTGTTTACATATTGTGTGCAATTTTTGCTCAACACATAGGTTTCGATTCATGGAATAATTCGAATCTTATTAGAAAACCAAACTGATTCTTGGCAATTTTAATTTAACCAGGACTCGACCAAGCTATGCCTGAGTCTGACCCTTTAAGAGTTATACTTCCATTAGGACTTGATCAAATTAATGCTCTTCCGAGCTGGGAGCCAACTGGCCTAAAGAATCATTATTCGGCGAAAATCGTGGCCTTTCAACTTGGTTATCCCTTTTGCCACTTAGTACTATAGTTCAGTGATATTCTTCTTCACTTACAAATGAGAGGTGTTAGGTTTGATTCTCACCAAAAGCGAATTTGAACCATATTATTCCTAACTCATTATGAGGCTAAACTCATCCCTTAATGTAAATAATACTATTTGTTTAAAATAAAATAAAATTTAAAAACAAAAAAACAAAAACTCAGTTTTCCACTCTCGGTCCAAACCCTATATGTCATGCCCAAGCGCCCAGATGGGGAAACTCTTTGCTTGAACTGCGACAAGAGAATCCGTTACAATTTTCCATGGCTTACTGTTACAGTACAGATGAATCAAAATGGTTAAGAGCCACCATAACCTTTGCGCTTGTAGCGCTCTCCGCCTCCACCGCCTTTTCTTGTAATTTCTCTTTCTTGTAATTCATCTTACTGCATTGCATTTGGGTTCTTGTAATTTATCTTTCTTTTGGTTTTTAACAGTGTATTTACACGAAGCTACGTATTGCTCCAATGGCTCAAATTCCTCGCCCGCACGAGCTAAAACTTCACAAGGCATCAAACCCCAATAAATACATAAGGAACTACGAGTGACTTGATCCCTCAATGAGCGTACGTAGGCAATCTAGGGTTCTACCTAGATGCAGTCAAATCTCCAAGTTACAATTTATTCATATTAGAATCAAAGGGTATTCCTTTCCCAAAAGAAGGGTTGTAATTAATAGGCGCATAGCGTAGAATAGGTCGAACTCAAATTAGTAAAACTGACACACCCCGACCGAGATTAGGGCATGCTAGCCGTCACGTGGAAGTGACGTAACCATGTGCACAGTGCGGAAGCTAAGAAATAATAATAAAAGTACGAATAAATAAAAACAAACCTAGCTATACACAAAGTAAATAACGTACATGTGCAAGCGTAAGTGTGAAAAACAAAGTTCAGAGCACGAAAGACCTAGTGCAGTCCGGGAGAAACAACACTAAATAAACACACCAAAAGGTGGTCTTACATTGGTAATAATCTGTCAGATAAGCTGGGAAAATCCTCTGGGGAGCCACCAAAAACGCTAGCCAAACTAGAACTTGGAGGGGCGCAAAACAGAAAGTGTGAGTGGGCAAAAACAAAGCTTTTCAAAAATCATTTCATAAACAAAGTTCTAACCTCTCGCCGTAAAACCTGTATACTTCCCAGAAAATATAATATATTCATAGATATAAATCATGCTCAGAAATATGCCACGCCAAATGCCTCAAAATAAGATGCAAGTACTCAGGTAATGCCAATCCATGCCATATAATCTGTCAACGGAGTCACCTAACGTGACCTGTACGGCTGAAACTATAGCTTAAATCTTCAACTCACTAACTACACCTGCACACGAGTCGGAACCACCTAAAGTGGTCTGTACGACAGGACTGGGTGTATAATAAGTACGCTCAAGTGCTCCGATCACGTGAAGAATGGGCGAATAATCGCAGGTCACCTACGAGTCGGAACCACCTAGAGTGGTTTGTACGACAGGACTGTGCACTTAACTTGGATCCAAGATGAGCGTGTGGTGCGGGAGGTGAACATCACGTGAAGGATTGTGCCCAACTCTAGGCGGTAGCACTAACAACGGGGGTGCAGGTTATGAGCTCTCTATGCATCTCAAATCACTACTAAACATAAACATAAACCATAACTTACTTGTCACTTACCTGTACGTCCGCAGCACCAAACATATATATATATATGTGCAACTAATAATACATAATTAAACAGCAAACATAATGCATGGCATATAAACGTATAAACGTTTCATTTCACTTTCTGGGAAAAACATAAGTATATAGGTATATACGGAAAACCAAAAGCCCACTCGCTGGTATGTAGAAGGGTTGTAACCCCCTTGCCTCGAGTGACCGTGCTCGTCCTCGGGATAGGTCTTACCTATATGCGAAACAACTATAAAAACGTAAATTTTAAAGCACATAACCAACATAATGAAATAACTTCTCATACAATGCTCAAATGAGGTGTATGAATACACCAACATGATCTACTCAACCTCACGAACATCCCTATATTTTTAAAATAATTTTTTGACACCGCACGCGCCCCTATGCGTCGGCCAAGGCACGGCCACACGCGGTGCCCATAAGCAAGCACGTGCCTGGCACACTAACGGCGTTAGTCAATGCCGTCAGGAATATTCCGTTAAGTCTAACTGATTCCATTAACGCCGTTAGGAATATTCCGTCCAAACTGACGGAATATTCCGTCATTTTCTCCGGCCAAACTCCGGCGCCAGAAAACCGGGAAAATTTCAAAACTTGATATCTTCTTCGTTTTTCATCCAAATTTCACAAAATTGGTATCAAAATGAAGCTTACAACAAGAGGAACAAATTCGTACCACTTTAAAGCACTAAAACCAACGGAATCTCGCCAGGAAAACACCACCAACTCCGGCCAAACCTACAACTCACGATCCCTACGTCCAAAACCTTCAAACGAACCACCCCGAGCCTCCTAAGGACCTCACCAAACTTCCTACAAGCTTGAAATTCCCAAAAACACAAGAATTAACGTGTGCATGAACAGTGACCAAATCGGGGATCTAGAGTTCGACGTGAAAACTAAGGTATCCTTACTTGAAATGGGTATGGTTGAACTCCTAAGGACTCACGAGCACAAATATGTAGTTTGTTTCCTCGATCCGTGAAGATTCCAAGGGTTTTGGGTGTTGTCTGTACGAAAAAGATAGGAAAGGGAGAGAGAGAGAGAGTCTCGGGACAGGGTAGAGAGAGAAATGAGCAGGGTATGTGTGTGGTCCAAAAATCAACCAATCAAAACCCAAAAACGACCACACAACGAAACAAACATACTAGGGGCAAAACCGTCATCTCACCCCTACGGTACGAAAAGTCCGAGACGGGCTGTCACAAAAACCCTCTTCAAAAAAAATGAACGAGGATGAAATTGTGTCGAGTGAATTATTTGTTTACATATTGTGTACAATTTTTGCTCAACACATAGGTTTTGATTCATGGAATAATTCGAATCTTATTAGAAAACCAAACTGATTCTTGGCAATTTTAATTTAACCAGGACTCGACCAAGCTATGCCTGAGTCTGACCCTTTAAGAGTTTTACTTCCATTAGGACTTGATCAAATTAATGCTCTTCCGAGCTGGGAGCCAACTGGCCTAAAGAATCATTATTGGGCGAAAATCGTGGCCTTTCAACTTGGTTATCCCTTTTGCCACTTAGTACTATAGTTCAGTGATATTCCTCTTCACTTACAAATAAGAGGTGTTAGGTTCGATTCTCACCAAAAACGAATTTGAATCATATTATTCCTAACTAATTATGAGGCTAAACTCATCCTTTAATGTAAATAATACTATTTGTTTAAAATAAAATAAAATTTAAAAATAAAAAAACAAAAACTCGGTTTTCCACTCTCGGTCCAAACCCTATATGTCACGGCCAAGCGCCCAGATGGGAAAACTCTTTGGCTTTAACTGCGAGAAGAGAATCCGTTACAATTTTCCATGGCTTACTGTTACAGTACAGATGAATCAAAATGGTTAAGAGCCACCATAACCTTTGCGCTTGCAGCGCTCTCCGCCTGCACCGCCTTTTCTTGTAATTTCTCTTTCTTGTAGTTCATTTTACTGCATTGCATTTGGGTTCTTGTAATTTATCTTTCTTTTGGTTTTTAACAGTGTATTTGTTGAAAAGAAAAACAAGGGATTTGGATTCCAAGATTGGTGAGCTCCAGAAATCTCTCAAGGCCTCCTCAGACATATGTGGTGCCGAACGGCAAGGTCGAATTCGGGCTCAGCAGGTACACTCTCCAGCAGTGATTCTGCATTTAATTGAGCTGGTTTATTTCATATACATTTGTGATTGGAAATTTGATTGGTTGTTGTCCGGACAGTGCCTTAACTATTTGCCTATGTTGTTGTACTTCATTACGTAATCGTTTAGGGATTTGCCTAGATCATGATTGTGTTCATTTCAGTCCATAGGCGTATCCGGAAGTAACATTGATCGTAGCGTTCGCATTTCACATGTCATTCGCGTTTTTTCTCGGCTTGCTAATTCTTTATCATTTTGTATTTGGAGGCTTTGAGAGAAGCGCTGACGCAACCTAAGTTGGATAGTTTGGAGCTGACTTCTTACCCCATGGCACCTATTGGTGTCATCCAGTCATGCTTCTCTACCAGGTATTTTGGGTGGACCAAGTTTGGTATTCCGACTTAAAGATCTTTGTTTCTCATCACTTGACTGTATGTTCATATATCATCTGTCTATCAATATGATACAATTGCGCCCAAAGTGATTGAGTGGGTGGGTATATAGCTAGATCTGATCACTAGAATTGTTTACTCCTCATGAAGTGGTTGAAGAAATCTGATGCTAATCAAGGAACTAAAGCACAAAGAGAAAACAGACCGACCAATACTGATATCCAAATTATTTGATTTTCCAAAACCGAGGATCGAGTTAATAGGTTTCATTTGTCTTTTCCTTTGAGTAAAATGGTAGTTTTCAAAACGCTCTGTCCTTTTGATTTTAAGTATGTACAGAAATCAAATTATGCTGAAAACTTTCAGCAGTGCTAGAAAAAATTCTATTTCCTTTGGGCTTAGTAGCACCTCTCTCCTTCTATATCTAAAGGGTTGAGGTTGAGTTCTGGGTTCCATCCCCAGTGGATGTGTTGGATTTTTATCCTGTCACTTGTCGGAGCAAAAGGAGTCATATAGATAAATTAAACGTTGCAGTTGAAATTATTAGAATAAGGTTTATCGTAGAGTTAAAGTAACATTTTGCACACCTATACACACATGTGCGCAGTTTACACTGGTGCATGAATGGGATACTCAGCCACCTTTAGTTTGCGGTTGCACCTCATGCTTGGGAATGCTTGGTTTCTCAGGGCTTCAGGTCTGCTCATTTTCAAGCTATCCCATCTTTGGTTGCCAGCAGTTCGTTGCATTTGTTTGTCTATGTATTGATAAAATAAAAAGCTTTTCAAAAAGTGCATATTTGTTTGGGAAAAGTAAGAATGTGCACATTTGTTGTGCATGCAAGGTTTCTTTAATGTCACATTGATGATCTTTCACTTTTTAATTGTGCAGGAATGGGACCCCTCGACAACCTCTACTTGTTCCTCTTTCCAGGGCCTGTTTGATTTTTAATTCAGCTCGTGTTCCTCCAGCTTCGCTTGAGGGTCTTGGAGAATATTCTCACTGCTGGGTTATATATGTTTTCCATCTAAATACAAATCTGGAGAAGCTTTGGAAGGATCCGACTAAGTCAAGGTTCAAGGCCAAGGTGTGTGTGCCTCTGAGTATGGTATACAGTAGTCTTTGCCTTCGGTGATTAGTTATTCTTTTTAACTTTGTGGAAAGGTTGACTGGATGAATAGGTGAGGGTACCAAGACTAAACGGTGAAAGGAGGGGAGTCTTTGCAACACGATCTCCACACAGGCCATGCCCCATTGGACTCACTGTTGCCAAGGTAAGGTTATACTACTGCTGAGTAGATCTTTTTATAGCGACTCAAAAAAAAAAAAAAAAAATATCAACATTCTGCGTTTGACTAATACTGAACCTTGGTTGTGGAAGTGAAGTTTTTCAAGAACTATCAAAACTCAGTAATCTCTCACAATTGGAAACCCATCTAATAGCTTCGTTCTTTTTCTCTTTTTGTTCTTTCTTTTGGTTTTTCTTGAGGGAATGCTTATATCATGAATATATTGCTTGCATCAGAATATATGTCTTAGACCTATCCACCAATTACCAATTGGTTTTTGATTAAATACTCTAATTATAACATGGTATCATAGCCTTGGTTTGTAGGTACATGGTTCTAAAACTCAATCCCCATTCCCCCACTTCTTTTTTGGTTTGCAAGGTGCAGGGAAGGGCTGCACCCATATGTTGCAGGGTGGGGCTGCACCCATATTCTACAAGGTCGGGGCACCCAAATGTTTTTCTCTCTCCCTATCTACACTCAGGATGGGGCTACACGTGAGGAAGGGCACCTTAATATACATTAAGCTATTGGGTCTAGTCGTTCTCTAACATCGTATTATAGTTATGCATCCTATGTGTTAGGCCAACTATTTTACATTTTTAACTTTATTCTTTACTCTCCAAGTTCCTTTCCAGCATTTAGAGAAGTGGTCTGAAGTATGTGGCATAATGTATTAGGCGTTGGGTTTTTTCAGCCCATGATGATTTGTCCCGAGTCTATTAGGAATTATAGTTCTAGAGGATTAAATTGTTTACCCAGTTGAAGTTGTTTTCCCAATTGGAGTTGTTTCAAATTGAAGTTGTTTACCCAATTGAAGTTGTTTTCCCATTTGGAGTTGTTTTCCCAATTGGAGTTGTTTACCCATTTTAAGTTGTTTTCCCAATTGGAGTTGGTTTCTCAATTGGAGAAGGATTCATAACTAAATTCCATTTAGGATTAGTAATGCTTATTGAGGAAGACCTTTCCTATATCTATATCAACAGGCTATTGCACTGGTTTTGAATTGGAGCAAAATAATAAGTTGTATACCACTCAAGGAGTTAGAGTGTGAGAATATTGTGTGGGCAAAGTATGTGCGAGAGAAAAGAAAGAGATAAGCGTATTTCTTGTTCTTGTTTTTTCAGGTTTTTTGTCAAGTCTTAATCCTAGAGACTTGGCAAGATTATCCGTTGTATTCATTATTTATATAGTGAAAGACTACTGTTGTTGCCCCATGGACATAGGCACATATAGGCGAACCACATTAGTTCTTAGTGTTGTTTATCTTGGTTATTTTGTTTTCGATTTCCAAGTTTGTTCTTTTTTATTCATTCTTAAATGCGATATTCACAACATTAGGTTTAATTACTTTTTGTTGTCATACAACCATTTTAATTATTTTTACTCTATAAAACCGTTCTGTATGTGTTCTTATCTTAAAGTTAAAGTTTGACTGCATATAAAAAAAAAAAAAAAAAAAAAAAAATTGAAAATATGCTTATGAAAGAGAGAAAGTCTGGAGTCTTACAAAAATATCTATAAAACTGTTCTGTATGTGTTCTTATCTTAAAGTTAAAGTTTGACTACATATAAAAAAAAAAAAAATTGAAAATATGCTTATGAAAGAGAGAAAGTCTGGAGTCTTACAAAAATATACTGTGTAATTTAGGTGGAAGCTGTACACAGGAGTATGCTTCTACTCTCTGGTGTGGATTTGGTTGATGGGACAGTAAGTTTTACAATTTTTATCTCAACTGGCCACATCCATTTTCTTTTTGTTCTGATTTTTGTTTTTTCAAATCAAACTTACTTGGTTTAGTTTTATTGACAGCCAGTACTTGATGTCAAACCTTATCTCCCCTACAGTGACAGCATCCAAGGAGCAAGAGTGCCAAAGTGGTTAACGGTATCATTTCCATTGTCTTTCAGGAATTTGTAAATCTTTATAGATTCGTGACATACAAGATAAGAGATTGTCCATTAAACTCATCAAGAAGTTTTGGATATTAAACTTGGGAGGTTGAAAGTCAAGTGATGTGTAGTTATAAGACGTTCATACAGTATAGACTATTAGTGCATAAGCTGCAGGATACAAACTCTCCAGTTCAGTTGAGAGTTGGTTTGCAGTATGGATTCTTGTTCGGTTTGACTGATACTTGGACCAAAACCTTCAAATATCTATTATGGAAAACTGCATATGTATAAGTTGTAGATATTTCCCACCTCGACCTTGCATATTTTGAGATTGTGAATTGTTAGTATACAACTGTATAATGTGATTTCAAAGGAAAAATACCTATTTCAGAGCCTTCTTCCTATGTCAGTGTAACATGTAAGTACTCTTCTGGTAACTTATAGGATCAATTCCTTCCTTGTTTTGAATTAATATCCATTTCTTCTGCAGGGGGACAGTGTTTTAGCAGTAGCTTCTGTTAGTTTCTCGGAGGGCTTCACTTCAACACTCGCTGATTGCTGGGAAATATCAGTGAGTGGTCTTATCTTTACTTCAAACATCAAGAACCTGTTTCATATTTTTGAAGGAGACATCCTTTTAATTTGTTGTTTTGATTAATTATTCATATTTCTTTACAATTTGCATCAATAGTCTGCTTCCTAGCTCTTCATTGGTAAAAGTCAAACTCTTCACACAACACCAGAAAGAAATGTAAGCAACCTTTAAAACAAGGGTACCTGCAGTGAAAAAAAAAAAAAAAAAAAAAAAGCCCAGGAAATAAGAAGAAAACCAAAAAACAGGATTCAACAGGATGTAACTGAACGCCTTAAAGATCATTCTGTCCAAGAAAAATATAAATTGAAACCTGGAAGTCAAATGTGAAGATCTAAGAGGGAAACTGACCTCCTGATTTAAAATATGTGCCTCAACATTGGACCGACTATGCTGTATGAAAACTGTCGTACATTGTGTGCAAATTGATTGGCAACTATATATGTTTATCTTTCCTATGAAAAGAATTGTATAGTTTTTCTTCATCAATAGTACTGGTCGAACTCAGGCTCTATACGCTGAATCTAGTGGAGGATATCAAAACATCTCAGTAATTAAATTCTAAAAGATTCAACAACTCATCATCCTGTGAGATCTCATTCTGGCTGTTTTTTTGGTGCTCTGATTGCGAAACTCTGTGAGTTAGTAAATAGGTCTCCCATATGTTCTATCTCATCCTGCAAATAGCTATACCTGGGAATAATTGACATTCCTGTTAGCCGACACTTCTATCAGTTCTAGGTTCTGAACTTGCGTCCTGTTTAAAATTCCCAAAGGGGTTCTTAGCAGATCATGAATAGATTGATTCCTTCTTTCACTCCCTGGTTGTGAATGTTTAATCGATTCGTAATCTTCTGTTTTCATTGCCCTGTCCAAATTAGCTATATAAATTCCTTTGCCCTTATACTCAAATAATTAGCTATTTAAATCTCGGGTTTAGAAAATGCTATTCCTTTTCCATGAAAACAGTTCAAAAATCAACTACATTAACTGGGAAATACTTTATTCTCTCACACCTTGAAGCACCAATTCCTGTGCACTTTATTTATTCCATCTGCATCTGGTTTGTTGCAGGGAAAGAATTCACTCTATGCTTCACCAGATGAGTTCCAAAACTTGATCAAGCAGGTGCTTTCATGGGATATTCGCTCATTGTCTCAACGAAATCGACCTCATGATTCCTTCACCAAGTCAGAAAATGGGAAACAATTGAACGAATGTTCAGATTACCACCCTGGTGAAGAAGCTTCTAGCCCTGGAAGCGAACAGCCACCGCAGTCTCCCAGAGACATAATATATCACCTGACTCTAGAAGGATTGGATGTTTCATACAGACTTGATTGTGATGGCAGTGTTGTTGTAGAGAAAGTGACAGAAGCATTGAGCGTGACTAATAGTAGTCAAAAGCGATGTAATTACTCTACATGGAGAGACCATTTCGTGCCCTTTGAGAACTGATGTTGTGTTTCCACTTTTCTTTTCCTTTCCTTCTCCTTTAGCTTCTGTTTCCCCCTCTCGAGGAGCCTGATCACCACTTTCTTCCAACTTCTTGTGCCCCTGATTCCCTGGTTTCCTTCCTCCCTTCCACTTCCTTTCCACTTTTCCCCCTTTTTTCTTCCTTCTCTCCTCCTTTCCACTTTCCTTCTTCCTTCCTTCTGTGGTTTCTTCCCTTTTCCCTTTCTTTGCATCTTCTTTCCATCTTTTTCTCATTTTTCTTCCACTTTCCTCGCATTCAATCCATCTTCCACCCAATCAACCCCATGCCTCTTCGACTGCACATCTTGGTTTGGCTTCTCCATCTTTGTACCGAGATTTTTCTCGTTTCACCCAGAAGGTGCGTAGAGTTTTTGCTCGGATGTTCACAACACCACCTTCCTTGGGATTGCCTTTGATGGCATTGTTGCTAGTGGGTTGCTCTTTCCCACTAGCTTCCTTCGTTTTGGGTTTCACTTTGTTGGCCCTGTTGCTAATGGGTTGCTTCTTCCCACAAGCTTCTTCCGATGTGTGGCAGCTATAGGTGTGGTGCTTGGCGGTGTTTGGGGATTTGTGTTGGGGTTCTGTTTTCACTCTATTTTCTTCTAGTTTTGGAGCTCTATTTCGCTTGTTTTCAGGTGCATGCAGGGAACGTTTGTTTTTGTTGGTTGGTAAGTGGATTTTCGGCGATGGCGGGTTGAAGCTGCCAAGGTTTGTTTCGGTGTTTTCTTTGTTTTGGGCTCTTTAGTTGCTTCTGAGGTCCTTTAGTATGTATTTGGGCCTTTTCTTGTGTAATTATTGTGTTGGAATAAAGCAACTTTTCACCCAAAAAAAAAAAGAAAAGAACTGATATAGTGTTTCTTTGGAATAATCATTTCATGGTGGAGGTCTGAATAGATAAGGATTTGAAACTCGAATTGAGTTAAATTGCTGGCCATAAACTTCTATTCAATACAACTTGTGTTATCCTGTAATTTGTGCCACCCGAGATTCTTAGTTACACGTGACGAGGGATGTCTAACCGGTTACAATTAGCAATCGACACTTGGGCTTGTAAGGGAGTTAAGTGCCGATTTAGTTCATGTATTCTTACTTAAGTGAAAATTAGGTCTTTGAATTATTTTTTCAGTAAAATAAGTTCCTAAATTGATTAAAAATTAATAATTTCATCTGTGACAACCTGTCCTTAAAATTTCGTTTTTATTTATTTTAATCGAGGGAATTGATGAAAATACCTTAGAGGCAAGAATTTTGACTTCTATTGACCGTCGTCTAAAGGAATGTATGAAGTTGTTTCACTAAATTATAGATTTAAAGGAAAATAAACTCCCAACCATGTGGGAATTGTAAGCAATTAGAAATTAGGGAGGAAGGAGTGGATCAATCAGACAAAAGGGCAAGGGACCAATTAGATGAATAGGAGGGTAGCCAATTAAGAGGGAGGATCCCCCTCTTCCCGTGCACTCCATGAACCCAGGTATGATTCGGCAAAAATTCCGGCCAATTTCTACCATTTTTCAGTTGAATTTCACACATCCATCACCTTCAATCTAAAGCTCAACCATATCATAGTATTTTAGAATGTACAAGTATATATATGACATGGCATAAAATGCATAAATCAATTTAAAAGCGTTTTGTGGAACTATCAATGATATACATATGATAAAAGGAAAAGACCCACTCACTTGAGGTCCGCGCTACGACTCCCTAGCACGAATATTGAGACGTCACGAACGATCCTCACTTAGAACAATTATTTAGTCACGTCTCAGAACTCTTATCAATAGAACACATAACATAAAACACATCCCAATGACGTTCTAAAATGATTTGAGACTTATTGCCCAAAGTCAACTGTCGGTCAAAGATCAACGGTAGGGTCCACAACCCTATGTAACTCAATCCGAAAGATCCGCATCTTGGATTTCCAATCCGTAACTTCCAAAGATCCACATTTTGCTTCTCAAACATCATACTAAAGTTTCATTATGATCTAACAATTGGATGTCCACCAATTGCCAATTCAAGTGGCGGTCAACATTTTATTTTACGCACTTACAAATCCAATTCAGGAAGATCCGTATGTTAGATTCCCAATCTATAAGTTTCTAATATCCTCAAATATTACAGACTATGATATATTAAAGTTTGGTGACGATCCAATAGTCGGATTGTCAATTCACTTAATGTTCAAGTAGCGGTCTTTATCAAAACTATGCTCAAACGATGAGATTTCATCAATCGGACTTCACCTATGGAATTAGGGTGTCAAACTTAGCTTAGAAAGGTCAGGGGGTGACTCGGCTCACGCACCGCCGCACACGGCGGTCAGCCGTCTCGATTCGCCGGAAAATTCAACTATCTCCAAAAATTCTCAAATTTTACAAAAATGAAGATCTCAAAGAGTAGAGCAAGTTTTATACCTGTGACCAAGTCTAACTTGGCCGGGAAAGGCTCCAATTTACTCAAACCTGCCGGAACCCTAAAATGTGTGAACTTCGATTTTCCTTCCTCAGTGTTCCAACGTCTCTACCACTGGTTGGGTGTTGTTCTTGGGTCCAAGGAAAGTTGATTAAGGGTAGTTTTAGGTGGTGGAACTCGCCAAAATGGAGGAATTGCCGTCGAGCACCTCTGGTGCTCTGGTGAAATTCCTTGCGGGTTAGGACCTAAAAACCCTTAAATTTGGATTGAGATGGTAAAGGGAAGGTGGTGGAGTAGATTGTAGGTGATGGATGTGTGAAATTCAACTAAAAAATGGTAGAAATTGGTCGAAATTTTGGCCGGATCATACCTGGGTTCATGGAGTACGGGAAGAGGGGGATCCTCCCTCTTGATTGGTTGCCCTCCTATTCATCTAATTGGTCCCTTGCCCTTTTGTCTGATTGGTCCACTCCTTCCTCCCTAATTTCTAATTGGTTACAATTCCCACATGGTGGGAGTTTACTTTCCTTTAAATCTATAATTTAGTGAAACAACTTCAAATGTCAATAACTATATCGTTATAATCTGGACTTGCGAACGGCTTTCGCCTATGCGTTCGTACCAACGAGTGTTACACAAATACGCCAAAAGAATAAGTCATACGTTCCTCTAGATAATGGTCAACAGAAGTTAAAATCTTTGCCTCTAGTGCATTTTCGTCAATTCCCTCGATTAAAATAAATAAAAACGAAATTTTAAGGACGGGTTGCCTAATCTACCCACCTTAAAAAAATTTCGTCCCCAAAATTTTGAAATCATTTGCTAAACATAATGTACTCTAGAAGATAGGAAAATGTCTATATATGTATATAATAACATAAAGTTATTGTACTAGAATTAAAACTAAACATAGACTATTTTTCACCTACGCACTTGTTGCGTTACGTACCCTGAAAATGAACATGTAGTATCTTTGGGTCGAACCCAGACAATAAATAACTAACTAACTAAGTAAATACAAATGCTAACATAGAATGACTTACTTGTCTATTTGCTTAACGAACCCAACGAATAAGTCATTGATATTACGGTCTGCAAACCGCAATACCAACAACCTACTGTTGTCTCAATAAGCAAGTAACAAATTCCTGAGGGTGTAATATTACCATCTTGCCCCTCACTGGGAAATATACATACATCGTTGATCCAAGTCTCAATCGTGCTCACGCACTACCCTCACGGGTAACATTAATAATAATCATAATTTTTCTATATCATAATCTCGATCATCCAAATACCTGTTCACAATACTCATTTTTCAAACATGTCCAGTGCGTAAAATCTCTATACTAAGGCTCAGACAATACCATAGCCAAATCAGAAATGTAACTATAGCTACACATAACTCTAACCAAGGTGAGTGCTTGCCATGACTGGCTAAAACTGTAAAATATTCAAAAACAATATGTCCTTCAATGTCTGGATAGTTCGTTCAGACTAACCATTAGCCTGAGGGTGAAATGTGATACGTGACAAAGTTTAATACATACGACCCTCAAGAAAGCTTACCAAGACTCGGAAATGAAACATGTGTCACGGTGATATATAGTAGCAACATACACACCACATAACCCAACAATGTAGTTCATAACACTATAGTGAGCAAGTTCATATTGAATTCTCCTTCAATTTTAGCAAAACTACACCAATAAAAACAATCAAGAATTTGAAAGTCAAATAAGTCCAACAAATCTAGAATACCAGGAAATTGAAATTAATGTATAACATCTCGCTACAACGGTAGCTTCTAGAGCATTCAATCACCAACGGTTAAGATTCGTTTAGCAGAGTATTTGTTGGGTGATTGAGAATTTAACGTACACGACTAAATGTCAAAGTCCTAGCAACACCTCTAGATGATTTTCTTGTTTCAAAAATAATACAAAGTGTAGTCCGATGTTTCAAATGAAGATAATAACACTTGATTCTAGTCAAGAATAGGATACTTCATTTCGAACGGTTTTAACCATTGGAAAGTATAAGCGATTCTTCATCATGCTAACTCAGCACAGTCGAAAGATCCAGAGAACACGTCATCATGGATTTTAAAATAATCAATGTCATCGAAAAATGTAAAGAAAAGGTAAGGTGAAACAACAGTTCATTGTCAGAAATTTTATTCATAATTAAAATCCCAAACCAAACTAATTTTCCTCGGTAGACAAGTGAAGAAAAACACTATAGTTGAAAAATCAATAACCATTTGTCAATAAGGTCAACAAGACCAAAGTTTGTCTCGAATTTCACAACATTTTGTGAGAATTCCAACTTTCTTCCGCTACTACCCTTTTTGAAGAAAAGAAAAGAATATCATTTACGTAAATCATATCTCCCAGGTAAAGTACCAATTTACACAAAGGTAATATTTGAGGAATTTCATGTGAAGCTGACTTTTGATGATTGGAGAATTTAATCTCATTACTAGAGTAGATGAGATAGTCGTCTACAAGAATATTATGAATTCGTCAAACTACACAAGGAAACTTGATTTACAAAGGTTGGTCGATTAGACCATCAACTCAAAGTAGGGGATAACGGTTTCTAATCGTCATCTGAGGGAGTTGCTAAAATCTAGGCATGATCCTGAAGCTCACTCTTTCACCTTCGCATATAAGTTTGAGATTTCCAAGATAAAGTGTTTAATAACTAAGTTCTTTCAATGAAGTAGGACTTGTTCTAAAAGTCATAAGGAAAACTGATATAGGAGTTGTTCGATAAGAAATAGGGAGAATAAATATGATGTTAATAAGGTGGATCAACGGTGTATTCTACTTCTTGCATTTGGTGGATTCCCAAGTAAAAATTTGAGAATGGATGCCAAAGGTAAACATCCTCAAAACGTACTATACTACTAATCAACTTTACAACACGAATTAAAAAGTCTTCATAGTTTTCTCGACACTCAAATCACTCCAACAGAGATATCATCTCGTCTTTCGATTCTACTGTCTACTTGTGGAAGT